TCTTTCCATTTTGGGGTAAGTAGCATTCTTGCTGCTGTGGCCGCATACATAAATAAATTTCTACACAATTTAGGTAGTTCTGTCCCTATAATTCCCAAAAGAAAAGCTTCTGGTTTGTTTGTTTTACAAAGGTTATTTTCAACTTCCTTTTCAATTCATTGTATATCATTTCCCAGTAAGCTTTAACCTTACTACAAGACCACCACATATGATAAAAATAACCTTCTTTCTCTTTACATTTCCAACACTTGTTCAATTTAGATTTAAACATGTCCAAAACTGGTTTGAAGTCTATATTGTGATATCAGTTTCGTAATTTTTGACTTGACAATAGATCACGAACCACAATGTGTTTGCGTGCAAAACTTGCCTTATGGGGAAAACCATGAAGCCAGCCAGTGTTTCTATTTCTGCAGTCTGTGTTAACTCTGCCAGCTCAGCAATCCACTGCCTCATGCCGGGGGCAGTGAATCACAAGAGCAGGTGCCAGCAAAAATCACAATGCAGGAAAAACCATAAAACCATCCAATGCCTATACATAGCTCCATCCTTATTTCGGACACTGTGACATAATGGCGTATCGCAGTGTTTAGCTGGTGATACATCACCGTGTTCAAAAACAGATATCGCCCAGCCCTAGCCCTAGGGCAGGTCACAGCAACCAAAACCATTAAAAACAACTTAGGGTCACAAAAATAAGTTGTGCCGAAAACATACATCACAAGCATCAAAAGCCAGTGTAAATAGGTATTATGTATAATGAAGGTGTTTGGTGCACCTCTGCGGAGAGGGACAACTTACAAAACACCCTCTGCTTAAATGTGTCTCTCGAGGTGATTTGCAGAAATGAACAGCTAAAAGACTACAAAAAGCAACTGAGAATAAGCTTTAAAACAATGCCAAATGGAAACCAAAGGCAGAGACCTTTCATCCAGTAGGGAAAACTTGTCAAAACAAAAAGTGTTGTTTTTGGAAAGCATAGGGTGTAGGCACCAACAACAGGAATGCTATTCCACAAAACAAGGCGGCCACACTGACAGCCCTGCTTTGATTTGCTGTGCAGCCAGATTCTGATATTTTGGGGACTGGAAGGACAAATTCCTGCAGAACACAGAACACAATGACCTACTGGTCACGTAAGGGGTGTGGTGGTCTCAAGTCACCTGGTCCAAACTGTATAGGCATTAAGTACCAAAAGCTGAAACGTGGCCTTGTAGCAGGGTGGCAGCCGGGTGTTAGATGCTGGTGATAGTTTGCTCTTCCCACCCACAATAAACCTAGCTGCCATGTGCCAAACTACCTGCGTCCTCCAGGCATACCTCAAGGGTAGCCTCACGTAGAGCACATTGCAGTAATCCAGCCTTAGCTTAACAGTACATGGACAACTGTGGTCAAGCTCTCCTGATCCAGGAACAGCTGTAGCCAGTAAAAGGCGCTGCTAGCCATCAAAGACACTCCTGCCTCCCGTGGCAGGGCAGGATTCAGGGGCACTTCCAAATTATGCACTTGTTTAGAGAGAGTGGGGACATGGGTGGCGCTGTGGTCTAAACCACTGAGCCTAGGGCTTGCCGATCAGAAGGTTGGCAGTTCGAATCCCTGCAATAGGGTGAGCTCCCGTTCTTCGGTCCCAGCTCCTGCCCACCTAGCAGTTTGAAAGCACATCAAAGTGCAAGTAGATAAACAGGTACCGCTCCGGCGGGAAGGTAAACGGCGTTTCCGTGTGCTGCTCTGGTTCATCAGAAGTGGATTAGTCATGCTGGCCGCATGACCTGGAAGCTGTCTGCAGACAAACGCCGGCTCCCTCGGCCTATAGAGCGAGATGAGCGCGCAACCCCAGAGTCGTCTGCGACTGGACCTAATGGTCAGGGGTACCTTTACCTTTACCTTAGAGAGAGTGCAAGCAACTTCACAGAACTAGGAACCACTCATTCAGAATTCAGACTCTGTTTACAGCCCACCAGAGCATCCAGACCCCTGTCCTTAATTTGGAAGATTTTCAGCATGTGTGATCTGCCTCTTTCTGTGGCTGGGTTGTGATAGGACTTTGCCTTTTATATGTATGAATGGGTTTATCGTTCTGTTTCCGTTTTATACTGGTTTTAATCTTTCTACCATTTTGCATGTCGTTTACGATTACTTTCTGTAAAAGAAAAAATATATAAGTGCAATAATTTATTTATTTCTAAACACTTCCTCATAATATAATGCATTTTTTGTACACTTTTGTGCACATTTTATCCTGGTATATGCTTTTCTTTTCTACACACTGCTCAGCTGGAGCACTGCACCACAAAATTTGTGGAAGCATGAATTTCAAAGGATGTCTGCATTTTAGTTTGCTTACCGTTTTGGAAAGCGGAAATTAGTTAGGCTTGCCTTTACATATGAGCTGAATCAAATTCTTTCCCCATCCCTAGCTTTGTCACATATGGTAGGTAAAATGTAAAAGCGGGGATGCGGGTGGCGCTGTGGCTTAAACCACAGAGCCTAGGGCTTGCCGATCAGAAGGTTGGCGGTTCAAATCCCCGCAATGGGGTGAGCTCCCATTGCTCGGTCCCTGCTCCTGCCAACCTAGCAGTTCGAAAGCACGTCAAAGTGCAAGTAGATAAATAGGTACCACTCTGGCGGGAAGGTAAACAGCGTTTCCGTGCGCTGCTCTGGTTCGCCAGAAGCAGCTTAGTCATGCTGGCCACATGACCCGGAAGCTGTATGCCGGCTCCCTCGGCCAATAAAGCGAGATGAGCGCTGCAACCCCAGAGTTGGCCACGACTGGACCTAATGGTCAGGGGTCCCTTTACCTTTACCTATCCTATCTCTTCCCGGGCTCCTCTTTTCCAGGCTAAACATACCCAGCCCCCTCAACCATTCCTCATAAGGCTTGATCCAGACATTATTCAGGAAGTACTTCTTAACATGGTGCATGTTTAAAACTATGGACTTTGCTCCCCAGATAGATGTTGTTATAGCCGACAACCTGGGTAGCTTTAAAAGACGATAGGGCAAATTTATGAGTAGAGGAGGTTATCGATGGCTACTAACTGCAATGGCTATGTTCTGTCTCAATTATCACAGGTAAGATATGCCTCTGAGTGCCAGCTGCTGGGGACAGCAATAGGGGAGGGGGCTGTTGTGTTTAGGTCCTGTTTCCAGGCTTCCCAGAGGCACAAGGACATAAGAGGCCAAAGGACCACTTAGTTCAGCACTCTGTTCTCTCAGTGGCCAAAGAGATGCTCATTGGAAGCCCACAAAGAGCACCTGAGCACAACAGCACTCTGTGATTGTCAGTAATTGGCATTTTTAGAGGCATTCTGCCTCCAGCATAGGGTCAAACACTAAGATTATGATGCTAAACTAGAAGGAGGAGTCTGTTTCATGCTCTGAAATATGTAAATTGCTCTGATTTGCAAGGTGTATCCCAGTCAACAGGATGTGGATTTCCTGGAGATACATACAAAAGTTTTACTTGAATGCATGCGAGCAAAAGTACAGGTTCCTGTTTTCTTGAAAAGGTCACTAGAATTTGCAGCAAAAAAAGGGGAACCGTTTTCCCTCGCTCACTGTTGTTAGTAGAATGGACTAGGATGGGGTGACCCCAGTCCTTCTTCAGCCAGAGAGTTCAGACAGTGTCCATGGGCAGGTGACTTTTTCAGCACCAGACCTACCTTCCAGGGTTGTTGTGATGATGAAGTGGGAAGGAGGGAAAGCCTTGTATATATACCATCTCCTTGGAGGAAGTGTGTAGGGGAAATATGATGCACACGTACTTTGTGGTTGTCACTCTCCCAGGCTTTTTCTCTGTAGTCTTATCATTCAGATCTGATGCTCGCTCTGCTAATAACTAGGTGGCTTGTGGGACAAAACGTGGGGGAGGAGAGAACGGACATGGGGAAAAGTCAATTGCAAACATAAATAGGATTGTTTCAAAAGCTATTCATTCTATCTCCAACATCATTTGAACCCTATCCATGAAGAATGGAGCTGCACAACTTGTGAGCCAGCAAGTCCGGCGTTCATATCACGGCCCACCAAGACAGTTTTTGTTATGCTGTATGTTTATCTTCCTATAGTCATAAAAATGTAAGGCTGTCATCACACAGCCCCCATTGGAAGGTTTGCGGTGCCTTGTCACAATCTTGGGGTGAGGCATTGATGGAGGGCATAGGGAGGACTGGCAAGCAACATGAGCAGAAGCAGCAAATCTCTCTCTCTCTCTCTCTCTCTCTCTCTCTCTCTCTGTGTGTGTGTGTGTGTCTGTCTGTGTGTGTCTAATTTCGCCTGCCTCCAAATTGCTCAGAGTATTATTCATGGTGGTCTTCTTTTATCCTCACAACCCTGAGGCTGCCCTCAGGCCCCAAATCTGATCCTTCCCAAAGGCAGCAATCCTAAACCTGTTTTCCTGACCAAATGTTTGCCTTACCAAACATTGAATGCCCAACAACTTGGGGGGGGGGGCTTAAACGCCCCCCTCAAGTATTTTATGGGGGAGGCTGAAGGGACCTCGGCCACCAGAAGTTGGCTCCTATGGGGCAGATGCTGCAGGTGTGTGTGGGCGGGTGTGGGTGGGTGCCCACCACCACGTGAAGCTAGACCTCGGCCAGTCTGCTACTGAAGGCTGCACTTTGTACAGGCCCAGAGGCCCTCTGTTCTGGGTGGCCATCATGGCACCTATATCCTCAAGCTCAGTCCCCTGGGGTGGCAAGCCATTTAAGGCCTCGCTGGAGAGTGTGTGTGCGCGCGGGGGGGGGCGCGGGGACTGATGCCGGATCCCCCTGAACGTGGGAACTCTTCCCCAACCACCTCCAAGACTGCCTCTGCCGCCTGATCTGGGTCGTCCCCTCTGCGCGTCTTTGCGCGTCTTTGCGCGTCGGGTGACTGAATCGGAGGGCGGATCGTTTCTTGCCTTTCCCAAAACGCCGCAACAGGAGGCAGGACAGCGCTTGGGACGCAGAAATGCGCGCTCCCTCCTCCTCTTCCTCCACCTCCCAGAGGCAGTCAGGCACTGGCAGTAGTAGAAATAGCAGGAGGAGGAGCAAGCGCCGGCGAGGATCTCCTTTCTTCCGATCTCTCCAAGCGCGCGCTGGGACGCAGGATGCTGCCGCGGCTGGGACTGATCCTGGCGCTTCTCTGCCGGGCTCCGCTGATCGGGGGCTCCTGGGCGGATCCCGGACAAAGCGAAGCGGCCGTGCTGAGCATTCAGCTGCCCGAGCAGCCGGCCAGGGAGGTCAGCCCGTTTTTCCTGTCTCTCACCATCGATGCCAACCTAGCCACGGATCCCAGATTCATCACCTTCCTGGGGTAGGTCACGCCAGGCTCGCCGTTTTCTGGTTTCTCCCCCCTTTTTGGGTGTGTGCGGGATCTTGCCCGCTGCGCCTTACGAGAAGGCTGTTTACCAATGGGAGAAGCTGCACCTGACGAGCTGCTGCCTGCTTTGCCGCGGATGAAGTTGCCGGAGCTCGGTGCAGGGTCCGTGAGTGAAAATGGAAGTCCCAAGCTGGGTTTCCCCTGAAGTTTTGCGTGTGAGAGAGAGAGAGTGTGAAAACTTGTCTCAAAGCTGAAAAATCTCTTGCTTGGTTTTTGCCTGCAGCTGAAACTTCCCTTTTTGAACTGCTTTGTCCAAATTTCTTCTAACTAAAGGGCTATAGAAGTCTGAACATGCCAGCCACGAGCTAATACTTTCTGCCCTAGGTTTTGCCCGTAATTCCTAGTTAGGAAGAGGGGGCTGTTTTTATCAGAGTTAAAAGGCACTCTGCATATAATCAGAGGCACAGAAGGTCTCTAACCCCACTGTCAAATTTAGAACATAAGCTCCTCGCAGGCAGAGACCTAAACTTGCCATTTCACTTAGGAAACTCTGTAAAATTCCATATAAACTGATGGCAGTGTAGAAACAATATATCATCTTAAATATGACGTCTCTGGTCCTTCAGTTGAAGCATAGAGATGTAGACATTCCAAGATTTCAAGTGCTGTTGAAGTGGGAGTTTTTCCAGGTTCTCCTCCTGCCTACAAACTGTACCTCCAATGGGCTATATCAGGGGTCAGCAACCTTTTCCAGACCATGTGGTGGGCTGGACTATATTTTGGGGCAAAAAATGAACGCATTCCTATGCCCCACAAATAACCCAGAGATGCATTTTAAATAAAAGGACACATTCTACTCATATAAAAACACACTGATTCCCAGACCGTCCGCGGGCCAGATTGAGAAGGCGATTGGGCCGGATCCGGCCCATGGGCCTTAGGTTGCCTACCCCTGGGCTATATGCTTGCCTCTTTCTCAATTTCTCACTGTGGCAGCAAAGGATTTCTTAGAAAGGTCCCAGTAATGACTGTATAAACCTGGAGGTCTATCTCCAGGCCTTGTGCCAGCAGTCAACCAGGTCGGGTACTTGATGTGACCCCAGGGATTCAGAAGGGCCCCTCCTTGGCCTGACCCAACCTTGAGTTGGCAGGGATGTATATTTATTCTGTAGCCTGGGGACCTTGATCCTAAAGGTTCAGAGTTTAGGATTGTAAATTGTAACCTTAGAGCGCATTAGATCTCACTAGATAAATAGGGTTAATTAATGTGGAATCCTACACTTGCCATCACAGCAGTTGCTAAAACCCATTTAAAAATAATTGCATCAAAATACATCATACCTACATCACAGAAAAGGCGGTCTACAGCAGAAATCTGAGCGCGTTGTTTATCTCGTCTGACAGGTTACCTGTTTAATGATCACTTGATTGGATTGCCTGGGGAGCCTGGCCAGTCTTTTGTAATGATAAAGACTTAGTTCCTGAGCCAGGTCACAGGCTCACACCCTATTCATATCTTAAATGTGCCCTTAAGACAGGATTTGTGAAGGAAAAGACAACGGGGAGGCTTTTCCATTTCCCTTTGACCTTGCAGAGAAAACATTTGGTCAGTTTGGGAATCAAAAATGGTTTCAGGTCGGTCTTCCTGTGCTGATCTATGTACGTGCTTGGTTGGTACACTTATGAACATTTAACATATATCTAAGACCTCAAAATTCCTATCATACTGCATTGCAGAGGGTTGGACTAGCTGATCCTCAGGATCCCTTCCAACTCTAGGATTCTACCATGCCCATGTGATCTCTGCCTTCCATGGCCTTTTTATTCTTTTTCTTTATAAGACTCACCCTGTGACACTTTCCCCCTTTCCTGGTTGCCACTTTACCCTCTAGCTGTAGGGTGGCAAGGATGAATGAGTTGGCATCCTTGGGATTAAGGAGTGCAAATGCACTCTTAATTATCTGACCATTTTCGCTTTGACATTTCCTGTGGTTCGCTCCGGGTGCTTTGGCTGGTGAGATATGCTGGGAGAATCCTGTTTCCCCTTGCTGCTGAGATAGCTGACATCTCTTTCTGCTACACGGAGCCGCATTCCATGCATCTAGACATGTGGTGTTGTTGTTTTGTTAAGTGCAGCCTATATACCTTCCTGTTGTTAGCCTTGGAGCAGCTAAAAGCACTGTGTAGTTTTTGGGTCTGCCTGGCCACTTGCTCAACCGCCTATGATTTGGGTTGGCGATGTCACCATTGGCTTGCAGAGCGCCAAATTGTTAGAGGCTCAAAAGGAAGATCACATGCTCTTTTTTCTCTCGAAAGGAAGAGTCCTCAGTTGACTTGCAATATTATCTGCACATTAATTCATACAGTGTGGTGTAGTGGTTAAGAGCAGTATACTCGTAATCTGGTGAACCGGGTTCGCTTCCCCACTCCTCCACATGCAGCTGCTGGGTGACCTTGGGCTAGTCACACTTCTCTTTGAAGTCTCTCAGCCCCACTCACCTCACAGAGTGTTTGTTGTGAGGGAGGAAGGGAAAGGGAATTGTTAGCCGCTTTGAGACTCCTTAAAGCTAAAGGTAAAGGGACCCCTGACCATTAGGTCCAGTCGTGGCCGACTCTGGGGTTGCAGCGCTCATCTCGCTTTACTGGCCAAGGGAGCTGGCGTACAGCTTCCGGGTCATGTGGCCAGCATGACTAAGCCGCTTCTGGCGAACCAGAGCAGCGAACGGAAACGCCGTTTACCTTCCCGCCGGAACAGTACCTATTTATCTACTTGCACTTTGACGTGCTTTCGAACTGCTAGGTGGGCAGGAGCAGGGACCGAGCAACAGGAGCTCACCCCGTCGCTGGGATTCGAACCACCGACCTTCTGATCGGCAAGTCCTAGGCTCTGTGGTTTAACCCACAGCATCACCTGCGTCCCTTGAGACTCCTTAGGGTAGTGATAAAGCGGGATATCAAATCCAAACTCTTCTTCTTCTTCTTCAGTGCAATTTGGGTATTGTAAAGGGGTGCTTGGAGCAGAAGCACTGTATTCTAGGGTTGCCATATTTCAAAAAGTGAAAATACTTTTTCACTTAAAAAAAATAAATCACCAAATGTTACACTTAGGACATGGGTTGCCATACATCCAGATTTCCACAGACATTAAAGCGATTTCTGCCTGGACACTGTTTCCGATGGCCAAATCCTGGCTATGTCCGGGAAATTTCAGAGGTATGGCAACCCTACTGTATTTCCCAGAGCAGAGTTTCAAGCCATGAGCAGTACAGGATTGGAGGTTTTCATACATGCAAAGCCAAATAAGCCATGGTTTTTATTTTTAAAGAAACATTCCTGGTAACCACCAGAGAAATCTCCTGGCTGCAGGATTCACAAGAGCCTGAGGGAGCACAGATATTTATTTACTCTGTTTTATTTTTTTTTATCCTGGCTTTTCTTCATGGAACTCAGGGTGCAGTATACATGGTTTTCCTCTCAACAACCCCGTGGTGTAGGCTAGACTGAGAGATACCGGATGGCCCAAGGTCACCCACTAAATTTCGTTGCTGAATGGGGATTTCATCCTATGTCTCAAATGTCAGACATTTTAAGCACTGTGCCACACTGGACAGATCACTGCTGTGCTAGCTGAACACAGATAAGACGGGGCGTTTCCAAGCCAGTTGATTCTCCAACAGGAACCCAGGTATTGTTCTCCAAATACATTCCCATTTTAACATTTCAAGCACATTTAGAAGAAGGTTGTGGCATCTGTCTGGGTACCTCCAGACAGTTACTCTTTTGCTGAACGGATTCAAGAACACATGTTGTGAATTTAGGTTTGCACAACTGAAGTAGATTAAAGCACTCTGTGACTCCAGCACAAAAAAATACACTTAGAAACATTATAATTGGATTTTTGGCAGTCGATGATGTGATGGGGAAATGGCACTGGCACCCGCCCTGTGGAACGCCCTCCCATCAGATGTCAAGGAAATAAACAACTATCTGACTTTTAGAAGACATCTGAAGGCAGCCCTGTTTAGGGAAGTTTTTAATGTTTGATCTTTTATCGTGTTTTTAATGTTCTGTTGGGAGCCGCCCAAAGTGGCTGAGGAAACCTAGCCAGATGGGCGGGGTATAAATAATAAATTATTATTATTATTAGTTTTTGCTGCAAGAGATTTAACACAGCTCCACTTCTGGAAAGTAAATAAAGGGTTTTTTCCATTCAAAAGGAAGGAGTTAAAGGGATTGGTAGCTTCTGAGCATGTGCTAACAGTGGCTACTGGCTTTGGGTGCATAGCCTGATGAAAGCCAACCACACAGGAACAAAACTGGCATATATGCTCACACGTCTCCAGTTTAACTACAGAGTACAAATTGCAGGATCTCAGCTCACAATACAGCTGAATTCTGTGAGAATTCATATGCCAAGTCTGTTATTTCCACTTTGGCAGAATCACTAATATCCGTGTATTGTGTTCTACCCAACTGAGTCAATACTCAGAGTATACCCATTGCAATCAATGGACTTGGCTAACTTGAACTCCTTGATTTTAATGGGTCTACTCTGAGTACTGACTATGGGGACCACCCCTTTCTGCAACATTGGCTACAGATTATCATGCTCCCGTTAACCATCCTCAGGACTAAAAACACGCCAAAGATCTCAAATTGTATTTCATATTATTTAATGAATCTGCACACACCTTATATCTTTGTTCCTCAATTTTACACAGCCTCCTAGCATTTCTTTGTGTGCAATGGGTATAGTTTTCATTTCCATGTTCTTTCGCTGGGTGCCCTTTGAGACTTGCCTCTCAAAAGCAGAAGAAAAGTGGAGTAAGAAACAAACTTGTTATCGCTTGTATCAGGCGAGTCCTTTATTTAACTCTGGTATTTTATCAGCTCCAACCAGGAAGTTGTTGGTGGCTGCTGAACTGCTGCATATTTGCCATTTAGCTGATGAGAGGCGCATATCTGATGCCTTGTGCTCGATCCCACAAAAGAAAGAAAAATATATATTTTTCATTTATAATGTTACAAGCAGCGTTCGAAATTCCCACTGTTCTAAGCACATTTTGTGACAGGGAATTTCATTAGCGTGAGCAGTTTCTGAGCTCTAGGTGCAGTACTGCACCGAAAAATTCAGATCAAAACTGCAGGTTGGAAGGAAAGGACAAGCTTTTTCTGCCTCCCCACTTCCAGTGGGAACCAGTGTGGTGTAGTGGTTAAGAGCGGTAGACTCGTAATCTGGTGAACCGGGTTCGCTTCCCCACTCCTCCACATGCAGCTGCTGGGTGACCTTGGGCCAGTCACACTTCTTTGAAGTCTCTCAGCCCCACTCCCCTCACAGAGTGTTTGTTGTGGGGGAGGAAGGGAAAGGAGAATGTTGGCTGCTTTGAGACTCCTTTGGGTAGTGATAAAACGGGATATCAAATCCAAACTCTTCTTCTTCTTCCAGTTGCTCTCTGAAGACTGGAAAAGAGACCCTCTTAAGAATATTAGGGGGGTGGGCAGGAGAAGGACTAGACCATGTGAAAAATGAACATAATATTTTAGCTGCATTTCATTCATTTTCAGAATAATATTCAAACATCCAAATAACAGGGGAAACTAGAAAAAGACTTCTTGCGTAACTTTGTCCTTGATATGCCATTTTTTCTGTGTGTAGGGATCAGGAGAGATCTCACTCACCTGATGCATTGCACCATCACCGCTAATCTACTCCAGTCCAGTAACAGTTTTACCATATGACAAAGTATTGTTGTTGTTTAGTCGTTTAGTCGTGTCCGACTCTTCGTGACCCCATGGACCTGAGCATGCCAGGCACTCCTGTCTTCCACTGCCTCCCACAGTTTGGCCAAACTCATGCTGGTAGCTTCGAGAACACTGTCCAACCATCTCGTCCTCTGTCGTCCCCTTCTCCTTGTGCCCTCCATCTTTCCCAACATCAGGGTCTTTTCCAGGGAGTCTTCCCTTCTCATGAAGTGGCCAAAGTATTGGAGCCTCAGCTTCAGGATCTGTCCTTCCAGTGAGCACTCAGGGCTGATTTCCTTCAGAATGGATAGGTTTGATCTTCTTGCAGTCCATGGGAGTCTCCAGAGTCTCCTCCAACACCATAATTCAAAAGCATCAATTCTTCGGCGATCGGCCTTCTTTAGTATTAGAGAATCTCTAATATAGTTCAAATAAAAGGCCTAGTTCTGCAAACCATGGTTCTTAATCCCCCGTGAGTAGACCAGGCTGCAGTTACCTGGCAGTGAAGGGAAATGCACTCCACACATGCCCAGAGGCATTGCTTGTTGTTATTCTTTCAGATTCTCTGGACGCTGGTGATGGAAACAGATTCTGGAGCTGAATTCTGCTGAATCCTGATCCAGATTAAGCCCTGGGGAGAGGAAATATCTTTAGCTGTGGTGCTGAAAAGACATCAAAACCCGTAGTGGTATATTGTCAGTAAATATAGCAGGCAGGAGAAATTGAAACTAGTCTGCATTCTGTTGCTTTTCCTTAAACAGACACAAGAAGTCTGTTTTGAAGAGAGCCTTTCATGTGATGATTAAAGTGCTGGCGCAAGCTTTGAAACTCTTAAGATTTCTGTATGCTGTCTTTATATTTAGAGTTACAAATATTGCATGTAGGCAAAAGAGAAATAAAGTTTAACACATGATGAGTCACAGGCCGCTGCTGTGTCAGGCTTGGCAAAGGAAATCCTCCTAGTGGTTCTCTTCGCTTTCTGTTCCAACAGCCGTGTTCAATTAAACACTTCAGACCGGAGGAGATTGCTCAGCACCAAACCACACACAATGTGGGAGATCTAAGACTGGATCTCCAGGCGTATCTCCCCTCCCAGCTCTCTAAAACACAGTGGAAACTGGTCCCATAGGGTAGGAGGAGGGGAGGCCAACAGCAGATGGCGCCAGAGGCAATGACAAGCAGAGCCAGCTCATTCCAGTTTTGTCCCCATCTTACTCCCAGCTGAATTCTACACATGCAGCACCAAGACTGTGGAGGGGTAGGTTGATACGTAGGTACCACACATAGTTTCTGGAACTATTGAGCAGAGAATAAGGGCACCTCTGTTTGGCCTGTTTATTGAGCACTTATTCTGATTTGTTTGTGGGGAGGTTAGATGATGTTGCGTCAAACTAGGTGTTATCCTACACTTTCCAGCTTGCTTTTCCATCGCTTTCCTTATCACAAAAACTCTAATTGTTTGGGGAAGCAGGCTCGTTTCACGAAAGCTCCAAATCAGCACTCCCTTAATTTACCAAGTTGTGATTGAACCCCACCCCAAAATCGCCACAGTCTACAAGCGCCTCATATGAACTGAATGAGCTGAACGGATGATGATGAATCAAAGCCAACAGGATGAAAATGTGTTTCCTTTCAATTTCTCCGCGTTCTCACTTTCCCAGCTCTACGAAACTGCGCACATTGGCGAGAGGTTTGTCTCCTGGCTTCGTGAGATTTGGCGGCACCAAGACAGACTTCTTGATCTTTGATCCTGAAGAGAAACCAACGGCAGAGGAAGAGGTTTGCCAGAATTTGCTGGCTAAACAAGGTAGGTTGGAGCCAAAAGGTTGCAAGCTGCAGAGCACTTACACATGAGCAAGTCTCACCAAGCAGAGTCGGAGCAGACTGGCATTGGGTGGCAAAAGCAGTTATGCATGCCTTTGATTTTCAGAGATGAAAGAGTGATAGATTATGAAGAATATTCAGCATAAAAACTAGTTGACACGATCCTCTATGCAAAAAGCAGGTTCATTTTCCAAGTGTGGATCATTATGCAGTCTCAGTGGTATTGCCTCTACACAAGAGGGAGGTATCAAAAGAGCTAGGAGAGCTAGGTACTGTTGCAGGAATTGATGTACAGTAGTGCCTCGCAAGACGAAATTAATCCGTTCTGCGAGTCTCTTCGTCTTGCGGTTTTTTCGTCTTGCGAAGCACGGCTATTAGCGGCTTAGCGGCTATTAACGGCTTAGCGGCTTTAAGAAAAAGGAAACAAACTTGCAAGAACTCGCAAGACGTTTCGTCTTGCGAAGCAAGCCCATAGGGAAATTCGTCTTGCGGAACGACTCAAAAAACGGAAAACCCTTTTGTCTAGCGAGTTTTTCATCTTGCGAGGCATTCGTCTTGCGGGGCACCACTGTATAGGTTGGGGGTTTGGGACTAATAAAAAACCCTCATCCGATACACGGAAAAGTACCGGACTTTTGCCATTTTTATGGTTGTTTATTGTTTGTTTAGGGACGCGGGTGGTGCTGTGGATTAAACCACAGAGCCTAGGACTTGCTGATCAGAAGGTCAGTGGTTTGAATCCCCGTGACGGGGTGAGCTCCCGTTGCTCAGTCCCTGCTCCTGCCAACCTAGCAGTTCGAAAACACGTCAAAGTGCAAGTAGATAAATAGATATCGCTCAGCGTTTCCGTGCGCTGCTCTGGTTCACTAGAAGTGGCTCAGTCATGCTGGCCACATGACCCGGAAGCTGTTCCCTCGGCCAATAGAGGGAGATGAGTGCCACAACCCCAGAGTCGGTCACGACTGGACCTAATGGTCAGGGGTCCCTTTACCTTTATCTGGGGGGGGGGTTGCCCCTCAAGCAGATATCATGCACATGCAGCCCACTACCAAAATCAGCACAATCACTTTTGTGACTTTTGTGATTTGTCCCCACAAAACACTTCATCACAGTTTCTTCCTATCTATTCAAAGGGCCTCTGCTGCACAATATCAAATGTAACAATTCCCTGATAAATGTATCTATGTACTGGCTCACTGGGAAAACTTCAGAAATTCTTATAGACATGTGAGCTCAGCTACTCAGCAGCCCCTCTGCCTGAGTGATAATCCCTGGCATCCTGATACCTGAGTGCCAGACAGGTAGCCATTCCAGAAATAACAAACCCAGATGAAGACAAAAGGGTGTGATTAACTTGGCTGGGAAACAGGGAAATATAAATCTATTTTGTTACACTTGATGGGTGTTTGGTGGAGGGCAAGGAGAACCATGGGGCAGGGTCCAGGATGCTCAGATTACCGCCACCAGACCTCCCCTTTCATGATGCAACCATGATGTATTAGTATTAGTGATGTAGTTTTTTGGGGGGTGTAACATGGGGATTAGCAGCTAATAAAAGTTTGGGTTCTCTTTTGTTCAGGGCTTCCATCTTGTTCCACCTTGTGGCAGGTGGGAGTCCTGTCACGACAGTCTTCAATAAAGACCAAGCCTACTGGCTGCTGTTTTGCTCTGGTATTCCTGGCTGGTGTCCTTGTTTTTTGTCCAAGGGGTCCTCAGATTTCTCAATTTGTTGTTGTTTAGTCGTTTAGTTGTGTCCAACTCTTCGTGACCCCATGGACCAGAGCACGCCAGGCACTCCTGTCTTCCACTGCCTCCCGCCGTTTGGTCAAACTCATGCTGGTAGCTTCGAGAACACTATCCCAACCATCTCGTCCTCTGTCGTCCCCTTCTCCTTGTGCCCTCCATCTTTCCCAACATCAGAGAGTCTTTCCAGGGAGTCTTCTCTTCTCATGAGGTGGCCAAAGTATTGGAGCCTCAGCTTCAGGATCTGTCCTTCCAGTGAGCACTTAGGGCGGATTTCCTTCAGAATGGAGAGGTTTGATCTTCTTGCAGTCCATGGGACTCTCAAGAGTCTCCTCCAGCACCATAAAACCCTGGAGCGCTGTTGCCAGTCAGAGTAGACAACACTGAACTAGAGGGACCATTTCTCTGACCCAGGTATAAGGCAACTTCCTAGGCTCCTCAGGCCTGCCTTGGCTTTCAGGTCACCCTGACACCCGGCACCTTTTGCTTTAGGAAATTAGGGAGGCAGCTTTTCTGCAAGGAAAACTGAGCACAGGAAAGCCTGCTCTCTCCTGAGTTGGCTGAAACAACAAAAGCCAGGCTCCCTCTGTTAGTGGCATTAATGGTTGCTATCAATCTGTGAGGCCAAGTGTGTGTGTGGGGGGGGATATTATATGTTCTAGAACTTTTGTTCAGGCTTTTCATAGACTGGTGTCAGCAGTCCTATTATACTAACTGTAAATGTCAATTTCATCCAGTTTCTGGCACTGGGAGCTGCTGACAAGGCTGTATTCGTACACAGGGCCTCTTGGCGTCTTTTGCAAGGGCCTCCCCCAGGCACTCTGCACACGAGATAAAGCAAAATTAACACGATCCTTAACAGCGCTGTTGGTTCTTTCCAAGACTATCAGGCAACTGACCCGCTTTGCTAGGGGATGGTCTTGCCCCAAAGAATTCGGGAAAATCCATATTGGATAGGACTGCGAACTGAAAGAAGTTTTGATGAGTTTAGGGTCAGATTTTAGCTGATGGATCTACCGATTTTTAAAACTGCAATTTTTTGACATTATTGCAGCGTTCCAATACTCGATCGGGATAATGAACTACAGCCAATTGCATTTCACAGAATCGTAGAACTGTAAAGTTGGAAGGGCCGCAGAGGGCCTTCTCGGTAGTGGCACCCGCCCTGTAGAACGCCCTCCCACCATATATCAAAGAGAAAAACAACTACCAGACTTTCAGAAGACATCTGAAGGCAGCCCTGTTTAGGGAAGCTTTTAATGTTTAATAGATTATCGTATTTTAATATTCTGTTAGAAGCTGTCCAGAGTGGCTGGGGAAACCCAGCGAGATGAGTGGGGAAATGAAAAACTATTATTATTATTATTAGGGACGCGGGTGGCGCTGTGGGTAAAAGCCTCAGCGCCTAGGGCTTGCCGATCGAAAGGTCGGCGGTTCGAATCCCCGCGGCGGGGTGTGCTCCCGTTGTTCGGTCCCAGTGCCTGCCAACCTAGCAGTTCGAAAGCACCTCCAGGTGCAAGTAGATAAATAGGGACTGCTTACTAGCGGGAAGGTAAACGGCGTTTCCGTGTGCAGCTCTGGCTCGCCAGAGCAGCAATGTCACGCTGGCCACGTGACCCGGAAGTGTCTCCGGACAGCGCTGGCCCCCGGCCTCTTGAGTGAGATGGGTGCACAACCCTAGAGTCTGTCAAGACTGGCCCGTACGGGCAGGGGTACCTTTACCTTTATTATTATTATTATTATTATTATTATTATTATTATTATTATTATTCCAGCCCCCTGCAATGCAGGAATATGCAAGTGGGCCAAGCTCTGGGGTGTCTGGGAGGTTCCTCATAAGGGAATATACCCCTTGGACTTCAAAAGGTACCCTTTTCCTGCTGGTGAGATCATCACCCTGAAACGTTGATCACTGTTGTGTGTTCTTTCTCTCTCTCTCCTTCTCTCTGCTGCCACAGATGCTGCAGATGTCTGTGGATTCAGATCCATGCCTATGGACGTCATAGAGCAACTGCAGTCTCAGTGGCCTTTCCAGGAAATGGTCATCCTCTGGGAGGAATCCAGGAAGAGGCCCCGGAACACAACCATTACGCGTAAGACGCTTGCAACCACCACACGCTAATTGGAGGGTGTCTCTCTTCTCTGTTTGCTGAAGATGACGGGGTCTGGAAACTTAATGAGCTCTGCTAATTACCTTTACCTTTAAAGGTAAAGGGACCCCTGACCGTTAGGTCCAGTCGTGGACAACTCTGGGGTTGCAGCGCTCATCTCACTTTATTGGCCGAGGGAGCCAGCGTACAGCTTCTGGGTCATGTGGCCAGCATGACTAAGCCGCTTCTGGCAAATCAGAGCAGCGCACGGAAATGGCATTTACCTTCCCGCTGGAGTGGTACCTATTTATCTACTTGCACTTTGATGTGCTTTTGAACTGTTAGGTTGGCAGGAGCTGGGACAGAGCAACGGGAGCTCACCCCGTCGCGGGGATTCGAACCGCCGTGTAGAAGGGAAAATAAAGTTGTTATTTTGCTTAGCCAGATCTTAGCCTATTACAGTATTTGTAAGGTTCTATGTGCTGGGTGAGGGACGCGGGTGGCGCTGTGGGTAAAAGCCTCAGCGCCTAGGGCTTGCCGATCGAAAGGTCGGCGGTTCGAATCCCCGCGGCGGGGTGCGCTCCCGTTGCTCAGTCCCAGCGCCTGCCAACCTAGCAGTTCGAAAGCACCCCCAGGTGCAAGTAGATAAATAGGGACCGCTTACTAGCGGGAAGGTAAACGGCGTTTCCATGTGTGGCTCTGGCTCGCCAGATGCAGCTTGTCACGCTGGCCACGTGACCCGGAAGTGTCTCCGGACAGCGCTGGCCCCCGGCCTCTTGAGTGAGATGGGCGCACAACCCTAGAGTCTGTCAAGACTGGCCCGTACGGGCAGGGGTACCTTTACCTTTACCTATGTGCTGGGTATATTATTCAAGAGGATATTTTGCTCTGTAAATGTAAGGTTGTTCCATACAGTTCTGTTGATAGTTTCAGTTACCTTCTGCCAAAAATCTTTCAACATAGGACAATGAAAAAAAACATGTTTTAGAGAACCATTATCCCTATTGCATCTCCAACAGGTAGATACCTTAGATAGCCCTTTTTTAAACAACCGCAATGGGGTCCAGTATATTCTAAATATTATTTTTTGTTGTGTGAGCCTCAATTTAAGGTCCAGAGGTGTCTTCTGAATTAATGGGAGCGTCTTCTTGAATTGCCAGCCACGGACTGCCAGTCTTTCACTGCAATGGGAATTAAGAGAGGATGAAATGTTCTGAATCTCTCCCAGGCCCACAAATTAAAATCCAGAGGTGGATTTTGCCTCTCCAGGAACAAGAGGTGTAGAAAGCACTTTTACCACCAATATAATATCGTTACTGAGGTTAGGTGCCACCTCCACTCTCTGCCAAGCGGTAGCAAGAACCCAGGGGCTTCTAGGCACTCACCCAGGGTCTGTGTTCCTTTGGAGAATTGAGACACAGCCGAGACTATTGTAGCTTTAAGAAATATGGTGAATTCACCTATTTACACCTTCAGCCTGCACAGAAGGAGTCCGGATTTTATAGCATAGTCATCTCAAGCAGGGCTTGTTCCCCACAGCAGAGCAGCCCTGGAGTCAAAGGCAGCTCTCCAGCCGCCCTTCAGTCAGCCAGCCCAAAATGGATCCCCGTCTTTCTCTCTCTCCCTTCTTCCCAGCACACCTTACTAAAGACACGCTTTTCCTGACATCTCAAACACACACCCCATCACTATGGCAACCTCTGTCTGTCCAGGCCCAATAATTCCTCATAGAGCAGGCATGTCCAACAGGTCGATCATGATCTACTGGTAGATCGCTGCAAGGTTTTGGTAGATCACAGTCAATCTCTGGCTCCCTTAGTGTCACTAAAACTGACTCCAGCCCCGCACCCTCACCCCGCCCTTCATTGTTGTTCAATCTCTGGAAGGGAAGATGGAGCTTTCTCTGTCCTGATGTTTGCATCCATAGTGATCTTTTTGTGAGTGACTTTACCCCTTTGTCCCTTGCCTTTAACCCCCCAAAAAACAGAAGTCCCCCCCCAAGCTTCTTTTTAACCCCTTAAAAATGGGGGTAGATCACTGCCAGTTTTTAATTCTGAAAGTAGATTGCAGTCTCTTGAGAGTTGGCCACCCTGCTCTTAGAGGAATCAACACCTTTTGTCATGTTAACACCTCAATCCCAGGAGAAGCCCTGGCTTGAAAAGGAAGCTTTGCATATGTTTTCCCATTGGTCTGCAATCTTCCCTTCAATACTCCACATAATCGGAAATCCTACCATTTATTAATTTAATTAATAATTGGGTCTCCCCCAATCTGCAACAAAAGATATTCTTTTTTAAGAGAAAAAAGAATAACAAGCAGAAAATTACAAATGCTTTTTTTCTGGACTCTGTACTGCAATTAAACTTTACAACATGTAACCCTATGCATTAATGTTCTTTTCACAACTCTATATAATGAACTTCGCAGTTGCTGCTTCCACCCCAACGTCCAGACATTTGTTATAGGCTGTTTCAGACTGTGCAAACTTGGGCCAAACTTAGAAGATAAGAAAAATGTGTAACTGTGGTTCGTGCAATTTTTTATTTTATTTTAAGCAGCCGCTGTGGGTCCCTTCAAACTCTACATTTTTATGATTCTGTGATTCATCTTCGCTGGTGGACCTTCTCCAGTGAGATTATTTTTCTGACCTAGGATTCCGGGGGGGCGGGGGGATTTTTTCCTGGGATTTCCTCCTTGTAACATGACCCGTTGTCCTTATTTTCCCACCTGCTCACAGGAAGTACAGTGGATATTCTGTACGACTTTGCACGCTGTGCCAATCTGCACCTGATCTTTGGACTCAACGCTTTGCTGAGGAGAGGCAACCAGTGGGACAGCTCAAACGCCCAGCTGATTTTGAATTACACTGAATCCCAGAATTACGACATGGATTGGGAACTTGGGAATGGTAGGTCTCAGATTTGAGTGTGCTCTTGTGTTGGCAGTACGCAAATGCATATGGGGGGGGGCAAAGTGGGAGAGGGAAGAAAACCCATAAGCCCCTCTTCCCTAAATTCAGCCCTGCAAAATCACATGCCATGTCAAGGATTTTATTTTTTTTCAACACAATGGTTTTATGCACCCCTCACAGCTTTTTCAAGTGATGCCTTCAGGACAGAAGACAGCAGCAGCAACAAAATAAATTGTTACATCGCTTTGGAATGTTTAATGCAGAGCTTTCCAAACATTTCATGTTGGTGATATACTTTTTAGACATGCCACTCTGGGCAGCTCCCAACAGAATGTTAATAAAAAAGCAATAAAACTTCAAACATTAAAAACTTCCCTAAACAGGGCTGCCTTCAGATGTTTATTTCCTTGACATCTGATGGTAGGGCATTCCACAGGGTGGGTGCCACTACTGAGAAGGCCCTCTGCCCTGTAGCTTCACTTCTCACAGTGAGGGAACCGCCAGAAGGCCCTCAGAGCTGGACCTCAGCACAGAACGATGGGGGTGGAGATGCTCCTTCAGGTATACGGGACTGAGGCCGTTTAGGGCTTTAAAGGTCAGCACCAACACTTTGAATTGTGCTCAGAAACATACTGGGAGCCAATGCAGGTCTTTTAGAACCGGTGTTATATGTTCTCGGCATCATTTTGCGACACTGTACTTCAGTTTTACTAGCAAACCAGTGGTTAAACTAACCCATTTCTAGCCCTGGGAGGACACACTAATGTGTCACAACACACAGTTTGGAAAGCTCTGGTTTAATGGAAAGCAATTCAGTGAAAGAAAGGGGAAAAAATCCATCACATTTTAGATGCTGCCACCCCCAGGTAATTTGAGATACCGCCTTACCCCTTAGATAAACCTGAGTCTCACGTATCTTTAGTTCCAAGTGTTCTTTCGGAATAGTAAAGTTTGATATTTAACATTCTGTACTTCTGCTTGATTACTGCCACTGTGCAAATTCTGAATGAGTCACACAGCTTTGAGAGCCATCTAAGGATGTTTACGCTTTCTGCAGAGCCCAACAGCTTCAGGAAGAAGTCTGGCATTTATATCGATGGCTCCCAGCTAGGACAGGACTTCATACAACTACGTCAGCTGTTGGACAGCTACAGCAGCTACAGAAATGCCAAGCTCTATGGGCCTGATGTAGGTCAACCTCGGAAGCACACTCAGAAGTTGCTAAGGAGGTAAAAATAAAATCACCAGCATCATTTGACTTGATAGATCAGGAATGCGATATTCTGCCCCACTGCAGAACATAACAAATAACCATTGTTGGCTTTAGCTGTGGTTTGTTGCCTTAATCCCGATTGAGATCGCTAGGCCTGGGCAGGGTGCAATTTTCTTTGCAGTTTAGATAAAATGTTGTTTCTGAGACAAAATGGACTAGGTTACAGTAGAGCAGAGCAGCAAAACCACAGACCCAATACTGAGCTGGATGTCTAATAAGTATAATACAGTGGTACCTCGGGTTAAGTACTTAATTCATTCCGGAGGTCCGTACTTAACCTGAAACTGTTCTTAACCTGAAGCACCACTTTAGCTAATGGGGCCTCCTGCTGCTGCCGCGCCACCGGAGCCCGATTTCTGTTCTCATCCTGAAGCAAAGTTCTTAACCTGAAGCACTGTTTCTGGGTTAGCAGAGTCTGTAACCTGAAGCATATGTAACCCGAGGTACCACTGTACGGAGTATACCTAATCATTCTAAGGGAGCTTCCTAAATTTATATGTTCCAACGTCTGTTTTGCTGGATTACAGTTCCCACAGTTTTGTAGCTCCCTTAGAATTTGACGAAAAGCAGAGGAGGTGGTAAATTTAACCCTTGTTGTTTTGCAGCTTCCTGAAATCAGGAGGAAAAGTAATTGATTCTGTCACATGGCATCAGTAAGTACTGAGTTCATATTCAGAAACTCGTTACCCAAGCATTACGGCAGCACGTGTCAAAACATTTACCAGAAACTGCGGGAGGGAACAGTGCTGTTGTGCTCAGGTCTTTTGGGGGGAACTGTCCATGGGGGAATCTGGCTGGCCATTTTGAGAGCAAGATGCTGAACAAAATGGATGCTTTGCCTGATCCAGCAGGGCTTTTCTTAACATACACCTAGTTCGGAGAACGCGGGACGCGGGTGGCGCTGTGGGTAAAACCTCAGTGCCTAGGACTTGCCGATCGTATGGTCGGCGGTTCGAATCCCCGTGGCGGGGTGAGCTCCCGTCGTTCGGTCCCAGCTCCTGCCCACCTAGCAGTTCGAAAGCACTCTTAAGTGCAAGTAGATAAATAGGTACCGCTTTATAGCGGGAAGGTAAACGGCGTTTCCGTGCGCTGGTGCAGGCTCGCCAGAGCAGCTTCGTCACGCTGGCCACGTAACCCGGAAGTGTCTCCGGACAGCGCTGGCCCCCGGCCTGTTAAGTGAGATGGGCGTGCAACCCCAGAGTCGGACATGACTGGCCCGTACGGGCAGGGGTACCTTTACCTTTAGTTCAGAGAAATATTAAGTCGATGATAACTGCGGAGAAAATATGAAGAAAACCATGAGGAAAACCATTTTGTTTTTGTTTGTTTTATAAAAGTATGTATATGCTGCCCTCATAAAATATCAGGCTAGTGTATTAAAACATAAAAACCATTAAAAGCGGTACAGAAAAACCATTGAAATGGCTGGCTACTCAAGAAGGTATCATAGACTAGACTCATAGAATTGTAAGGTCATTTTGCCCGCCCCCCCTGCAATTCAGGAATCTCAGCTAAAGCATCCATGACAGATGCTTGAAAGTCAAAAAGCAAGTTGCCTGTCACTTCTCTGCTAGGAGAATGTTCCACTGTGACATTAAATGCCCGACTTCTTGTTGAGGTCATTTGGGCATCTGTAACAAAGTGGACAACTAACAGCTCTCTTCTGGGTGATCTCTAATAGAAGGGCTTAACACCAAATGGTGCAGGACTTCTTGTATCAACATAAGAGCCTTTTCCAGCACCAGTGTAAATTATGGGTAGACTTAACGTCAAATGTCTCGATTTCGCAGCTATTATCTGAATGGCCGAACTGCTACCAGAGAGGATTTCCTGAGTCCTGATGTGCTGGACACTTTCATCACAGCCGTACAAGAAGAACTCCAGGTAATCGGGAGTCTGTGTGGGTGGCTGGACAGCTCATCTATTCCTCCTATTCCTCAAGTCCCTGTATTGGCTCACCTTTCTATACTTTGATTTCACATTCTCTAGCTTGTTGATGACACTGTCCCAGGCAAGAAAGTTTGGCTGGGAGAAACTAGTTCAGCCTACGGAGGGGGTGCTCCTCAGCTGTCCAATACGTATCTTGCTGGTTTTATGTAAGTACAATAATATACGTTCCTACGAGCTCTGCTTTCCTTCTATGGAATACCGGGATCTTGTTGCGTGTCAAGACCCCATAGCCACACCCTCGTTGGGAAATAACACACACAAGGACATGGATATTAGCTTTATGTTATTGGGCAAATTTGGCCACAACTTTATTGATTACAGAATGTGAGCGGTATTGGCTTAGGCACTGAATGGACCCAACTATATCTGACTCCTGCCCGATGCGCAGGAAGTCCAGTAAGGGTAAACCACTGGAAGGGGGAGCCCTGTCGATGCAGACCAACTCAAGCTCCTCCTGGTGTTCCCGTCGGGGTCGTGTCATGGCCCTAGCTCTCGACCCGGGCTTCGGACAAGATCAACACCCCCGGATTCCTTTAATGGAATACCCTTAAGCTTGGAGGGGCAGGTGACGGCCACACCTCCCCTCCCCCATCACAAGGTCAAACAATGCCTAACTGCAACCATAACAAAGTTGTGATGATTGCTACAAGGTAGGCAAAAACCACATGGGCGGTGCCAATTTGCCAAGTGGAAAAATTCCTACCAGGCCCCTCAATGGCGACCAAGCGAGGTCCATAGCAAGGACAATGCCTAAACCTGCAAAATAGGGAGGGAGGGTGATTGAGGAAGCGAGCCAAAGAGGAAGCCTCCGGCTCGCTCCTCTGATTTAAACAGCCCTGGCCACGCTCCCCTGGCCAGCGGATTGGCTGGCCGGGCTCTACATGACCGGGACCCCCCCGGGCAATGGGGGACTAAATCCCCCGCCCCCGGTGGGGAGTGGGTGGCCACACAGTCCACCGCAACTCCTCCCCACTGGGAAGTGGAGCGGATTTCTCTACCAATGCCCTAGAAGCCCTTCCTTTGATCAAACAGGAGAAGCTGTTGTGATCATTGATGCCCATAAAGCTATCCATGTCTAGTAGCTATGGTGGCTATGTCCTTCCTCCATAGCTAGAGGCACTAATGTTTCTGAGTACCAGTTGCTGGAAACCACAGGAGGAAAGAGGGCTCTTGCTCTCAGGTTCTGCTTTTAAGCTTCCCAGAGGCATCCGGTTGGCCATTGTGAGAACAGGATGCTAGACCAGATGAGCCAGTGATCTAAGCCAGCAGGCTCCTCTTATGTCCTGATCTGCTTGCACACCCCCCCGAACACATCAGTGGGAACCACAGAAAACGTTCTGCCTCTCCCCCGCTCCACCCTTTAGTGGTGTTTTAGGGTCTTTTCCAGGTCCATGTGCCATGCGCATGTGCACAATTATGCGCCAATAGGTTGTTGCCTGTACAACCATGAGCGTTCATCCTGAATCCATCCAGATTTGTTCATATTTCCCAATCACTTCCCTAACCACAAAAAGTCAAAAAAATATCTGAAGAAGTGTGCATGCACACGAAAGCTCATACCAAGAACTAACTTAGTTGGTCTTTAAGGTGCTACTGGAAGGATTTTGTTTTGTTTTGACTATGGCAGACCAACACGGCTACCTATCTGTCACAAAAAGTCAGTTTCTTTTCACCCAAGTTTCCTAGCAATTGCTTGAATCTCTCCCATTAAACGCTGACATTCTGGAGGTTGGCATCGACCGGCAACACCTGGCGCTTCTAGAAACTCACCATGCCATATGGCGAATCAGAAAGGAGACGAATTAGATACCAGGACTTGTTTTATTTAAGACCAAACCCAAATCCTCCCCCCCCCTATTGTGGAGCCCATTTATCCTCCTGTATGAGGAATCAAGCTTTTTGTGTTACCCTACCCAGTACCTGACAGGGACGCGGGTGGCGCTGTGGGTTAAACCACAGAGCCTAGGATTTGCTGATCAGAAGGTCGTGGTTTGAATCCCCGCGACGGGGTGAACTCCCGTTGCTCGGCCCCTGCTCCTGCCCACCTAGCAGTTCGAAAGCACGTCAAAGTGCAAGTAGATAAATAGGTACCGCTCTGGCGGGAAGGTAAATGGCGTTTCCATGCGCTGCTCTGGTTCGCCAGAAGCGGCTTAGTCATGCTGGCCATATGACCTGGAAGCTGTACGCCGGCTCCCTTGGCCAATAAAGCGAGATGAGCGCCGCAACCCCAGAGTCGGTCACGACTGGACCTAATGGTCAGGGGTCCCTTTACCTTTACCCAGGACCTATGATGGCAGCATGTTGAACTGCTGTGCAACTGAGAAAGTTTCATAAGGTGACAGTAACAGAAGCTGGTCTGCTTAGATATCTCATCATCTGTTTTGTTTCTCTTATTGGGAAAAAAACGACACTAAGGGAATTTGGGAGCTGTGGGTCTGCATACTGCTGTGAAATTCTGTATTGAAGGACAGGCACTTCAATTTAAGGACCTCTCATGTCCCTGCCAAGAACTGAGAATGCTTTTCCACAGCGTTCTCTCTGCTCCTCTCAACTACTTATTAAAGGTCATGGTTACAATGCTGCCAGAAAGAACACCTGCCTTTTCTGACCTTATAACTATTGAATGTATTTTTTTTTTAAAGCACCACTTCTGCTCTTGTTTCTGCCTTGCACGTAGTACAAAACATCACACCTCTTTAGTTAGAACAGAAGCCACTCCCGATTCTTTTCAGGTTGCTTGAATTGAAGTTTTCTTTATTTCTTGCTCTCCGCCCCCCCTACTTTTGTTACGCAGGTGGCTGGACAAACTTGGTCTGTCTGCCAAACTGGGCATTGACGTGGTGATGAGACAGGTTTTGTTTGGAGCGGGAAGCTATCATCTGGTGAACGCCAGCTTTGAACCTTTACCAGTACGTATACCTCTAATAATAAATATAATAACAATAATTTATTATTTATACCCCACTCATCTGACTGGGTTTCCCCAGCCACTCTGGGCGGCTTCCAACAGAATATTAAAATACAATAACCTATTAAACATTAAAAGCTTCCCTAAACAGGGCTGCCTTCAGATGTCTTTTAAAAGTCTGGTAGTTGTTGTTCTCTTTGACATCTGGTGGGAGGGCGTTCCACAGGGCAGGTGCCACTACCGAGAAGGCCCTCTGTCTGGTTCCCTGTAACCTCACTTCTCGTAATGAGGGAACCGCCAGGAGGCCCTCGGCGCTGGACCTCAGTGTCCAGGCAGAATGATTGGAGTGGAGACGCTACTTCAGGTATACTGGACCGAGGCCATTTAGGGCTTTAAAGGTCAGCACCAACAATGAACAATGAATAAAACAATGAAAAGGTTGAGGATACAATGACTCCTGCAATCGACACAAGATAATATCCCCAAGGCAAGTATCTGTAAACAAATGATAAACATCCATAAAAATGGCAAAAGTAGCTTCTTTCCCAAATAGGTTTTATCTTAAACAATAGCAAACACAGTAAATACGTTTGTAACAGTGTGTAGACAGTATGTAAACGACTTAAAGCAGGGGCATATCTGTCCCCATCTGCATTTTTCCATCGGGAGAAGCATCCGTCAAGGAGGTTTAGCAAACTGAAGGATATCGTCCTCTTTCTATGCTCCTCCCTCTTTCTGTGCTTTAAGTTGTTTACATATGGTCTTCACTTGTATATTACAGTGGTGCCCCGCGAGATGAATGCCTCGCAAGACGGAAAACCCGCTAGACGAAAGGGTTTTCCGTTTTGGAGGTGCTTCGTAAAACGAATTTCCTATGGGCTTGCTTCGCAAGACGAAAATGTCTTGCGAGTTCCTGCAGGGTTTTTTTCCCTTTCCCCCCCTTTTTCCCAAGCCGCTAAGCCGCTTATCAGCTGATCCGCTAAGCCGCTTAACAGCTGATCCGCTAAGCCGCTTAACAGCTGATCGCTAAGCCGCTTATCAGCTGATCCGCTAAGCCGCTTAACAGCTGATCTGCTAAGCCGCTTAACAGCTGATCCGCTAAGCCATTTAACAGCTGATCTGCTAAGCCGCTTATCAGCTGATCCGCTAAGCCCGCTAAGCCGCTAATAGTGCTAATCCGCTAAGCCGCTAATGGGCTTGCTTCGCAAGCAAGACGAAAAAACCGCAAGATGAAGAGACTTGCGGAACAGATTCTTTTCGTCTTGCGAGGCACCACTGTATTTACTACAAAGCTCGATGACTAAGCTTTTCAGCAACGAAACGTCAGAGCACTGAATCACTGGTACAGTGGTACCTCAGGTTACATACGTTTCAGGTTACATACGCTTTAGGTTACAGACTCCGCTAACCCAGAAATAGTACCTCAGGTTAAGAACTTTGCTTCAGGATGAGAACAGAAATCGTGCGATGGCGGCACAGCAGCAGCAGGAGGCCCCACTAGCTAAAGTGGTGCTTCAGGTTAAGAACAGTTTCAGGTTAAGAACGGACCTCAGGAACGAATTAAGTATGTAACCAGAGGTACCACTGTATATCACAAGTAGACTCTTCATTACTGCATTTGCAGTTGTTCCAACATAAAATCTATTTTGGAAAGAGAAGAAATGAGCACTGAGCCACTGATATACAGTGGTACCTCGCAAGACGAATGCCTCGCAAGACAAAAAACTCGCTAGACGAAAGGGTTTTTGGTTTTTTGAGTTGCTTCGCAAGACGATTTTCCCTATGGGCTTGCTTTGCAAGATGGAAATGTCTTGCTAGTTTGTTTCCTTTTTCTTAACACCATTAATACAGTTGCGACTTGACTTCGAGGAGCAACTCATAGAACGCGGTGTGGTAGCCTTATTTGAGGTTTTTAAAGACTTTGGTGATTTCTGAAGCTTTTCCAAAACTTTCCTGACACCGTGCTTCGCAAGACGAAAAAAATCGCATGACGACAAAACTCGCGGAACGAATTAATTTCGTCTTGCGAGGCACCACTGTATTTATTACAAATAAACTCTTCATTTACTGTGTTTGCTGTTGTTTAAGATAAAACCTATTTGGGAAAGAAACTACTGTATTTTTCTGTGTATAACAAGCTATCATGTATAAGACGCCCCCTATTTTGGGGGACTCCAAAAGTAAGAAAATGGGGAGAGATTGCCCAGAGTTGCTGAGCTTTTTTGGGGAGGATTGCCCAGAGTTGCTGAGGTTTGGGGGGGGCAGAGTTGTTGAGCTTTATTTGGGGTGGTGGTGGCCTAGAGTTGTTGACTCTGTCCCCTCGCCAGCAGAAGCTGCCAATCGCCCGCCAAATTGCCACAGCAACAGCCAATCAACACCAGCCCTTGCCGCAGCCACCAATAACACGCCCAATAGCCGCTGACAATCTCCGGCTCGCGGCAGCAACCAATCCCACGTCCCCCCATGCACTATCAGTGTATAAGACGACCCCAATTTTTTAACATAACTTTTTAATAAAAAAATCCTCATCAGATACATGGAATAGTATGGGACATTGGGAAAAGTATGGGCCATTTTTATGGGCGTCTATTGTTTGTTTACAGATAGTTGCCTTGGTGATATTATCTTATGTCGATAGCAGTACATTTACCTCGGCAGAGGAAGCTGCAAAGGTGTAAAGAGGGAGTGGATGGGTGGCAAGCAGCGACGGCGGGGTTGGGTGGGCATGGTGCATGCTGACATCTATTTTGCTTCAAAAAAATAAAATAAAATAATCCCACTGATAATTACCATTATTATTTTTTCAATTTCTTAACTGCCTTTCACCATAAGCTCTCGAGGCAGTCAGGTCACGGCAATTTAAATTCAAATTTCAAAGCAGTTTAAAATAAATGATAGGAAGAGGAAAAGGATAAGGGTGAATTGCCTTCTGTGTTTTTGATTCCATCTCACTCCTGCTTACCCACCAACTCTTTGCTGGTGACGTTTCTTTAACATGTTTTTGCTATGCACAAAAGCTGTCTTCTTTTCCCATGTAAATAGGATTATTGGCTTTCTCTGGTATACAAGAAACTAGTGGGCGCCAAAGTCCTGCAAGTCAACCTGTCAGGCGAAGACCCAAGGAGGCTTCGAGTGTATCTTCACTGTACAAATGAGCACCAGTAAGTATTCAGCCAAATGCCTAATAATAATAATAATGATAATGATAATAATAAATTTTATTTATACCCCGCCCTCCCCAGTCAAGACCGGGCTCAGGGAAGCTAACAACCAATAATGAAAACAAGTTGATTGAAATACAACTTAAAAAACAAGATTAAAATACAACATTAAAACAATTAAAACATTAAAATGCAGCCTCATCACAGGAGGAGAAAAGAAAAAAAGAAAGGGGGGAGGGAATCAAATTGATTCTAAGCTAAAGGCCAGGGGAACAACTCTGTCTTACAGGCCCTGCGGAAAGAAATCGGATCCTGCAGGGCCCTGGTCTCATGAGGCAGAGCGTTCCACCAGGCTGGAGCCAGTGTTGAAAAGGCCCTGGCTCTGGTTGAGGCTAATCTGACTTCCTTAGGGCCCGGGACCTCTAGGGTGTTGCAATTTATGGACCTTAAGGTCCTCTGTAGGGCATATCGGGAGAGGCGGTCCCATAGGTACGAGGGTCCTAGGCCATGTAGACTCTGAAGACCTTTTGGAAAAGTAACCCAATTTTGTACTTTCACCTAAGAGGAGACACGGCTTGGAAAAGGTGCAAGGGCTTTGGTACACTAGCTCTGGTGCAGCAAAACACGCTAGTGCAATTGCACCAAAGAATCTGAAACTTTGTACATGTCAAGCGTAGATAAAGAAAAATGGGGCAGAATGAAAAGATGGCAGCTAAGACACATAAACTCTCCCCCCAAATTCCAAAAGGAGTTAGGAATCCTCGCTTTGCAAATGCTTTTCTAGGCTAGGATCCTGGTAACTCGCAGGGGCAATTTTTAGCAGATGCTAGCAAAGCGCCTGTCACTATGGCAGGAAACATGTGTGCAGCACAGCCCCACATATTGCTGACCCAGAGTGTCCCCATGGATGGAGAATGGAGTTTGCCCTGCCCTATGCATTTTGCTCCGAGTGTGGCACCACCTAACCCAGCCCCTTGGCAGGGGCGGACTTTGTAATCGTTTGCAATACGGTTCCCTGTGCAAGGCCAAAATTGGGCGCCGTTGCCATTATAAGAGAACGAGGGAGGTGTTCACAGTTCCTACACCTCTTTTTCTAGAAAAATGGCACTGGCTGGTTGTATTTATTGATTTGGGGTTTTCTTTCCCCTTCAGACTTCTCTAAATGCAAAACATAAATGCAGAGATTTCTGTGCTTAAAATACTGCAGTTGTGTATTTCCTCTGATAACGTTTGAGACCTGCAGGTTATAGGACGGTACACAAATTAAACAAACAAACAAACAACAACTTTTGCGCTTCACCAGGAGGAAATGCTCATGTCAAACAGAATGCCCTTATTTTCATCTGAGGAATGTTGGAGTGTATACTATATATTATCTGGTATATCCTTTTAACAGGCTGCTTCATGTTTTCCTTCCAGCCCGAAGTACAGAGAAGGGGATATCACCTTATTTGCCTTGAACCTCTATAACAGCACAAAACACTTGCAGTTACCTTCTTCCTTCTCCAGCAGGCAAATAGATGAATATCTTTTACTGCCTCATGGAGAAGACAGCATACTTTCCAAGTAAGAAATTCCAACTTTCCTTGCCTTTCTAAATATTATTTGTTCAATATGAGCTTTAAAAACTTGGGATTTTCAGAGGAGACCCTTTTCATTCTCTTTCAAATGTTGTTCGGGATCTAAAAGGTGTTAGCAATTTCTTTTAACCCCCTGTACCCGACTCTTGATTTGTAGACACTGGACAAATGAGGTACCACGATTGGGAAACTTTTGTTAGGCTGTGTCCACATAATACAGGGGTCAGCAACCTTTTTCAGCCATGGGCCAGTCCATCGTTCCTCAGACCATGTGGTAGGCCAGACTATATTTTGAAGGGGGGGAAATGAATGAATTCCTATGTCCCATAAATAACCCAGAGATGCATTTTAAATAAAAGGACACATTCTACTCATGTAAAAACACACAGGATTCCCAGACTGTTCTTGGACCGGATTGAAAAGGCAATTGGGCCGGATCTGGCCCCCGGGCCTTAGGTTGCCTACCCCTGGCATAATACCTTTGAAGCACACACATGCTTCAAAGAATTCTGGGAATTGTAGTTTTCCCCTCACAAAGTTATAGTTCCCAGCAGCCCTTAACACACCGCAGGACCCAGAATTCTTTGAGAGGAAATGTGCTTCAAATGTGCTTTAAAGCTATAGTGTGTACACATCCAGAGTTTCCTGAAACAATCATTCCAAGAAGCTCAAGGCGATGCTTATGGCTCTTCCCACCACTAAGTGTTATGTAACATCATTTTGCATAGCAATTACTTCGCACTGCATTCTGTAACCACACATTAACAAAGCGCTTCAACCAGTCATGTGTTCACAGTCCACATTTCTGACTTTTAGTCTCAGGGCTATGGGTTCGAGCCCCACATTCGGCAAAAGATCCCTGCATCGCAGAGGGTTGGACTAGATGACCCTCAGGGTCCCTTCCGACGCTACAATTCTGTGATTCTAGGACATTCACAGCCCTTAATCTTCAGCTTGAAAATGACTTCTATTTCTTGAAACAGTGTTCAAGATTTGACAAAAGATTGTCATTCCTGTTCATTGTTAATGCAATAAACTTATTATTATTTTGTTCTTAGAAACTACAGGATCAGGATTACATTTTTAGGTTTCAGATCCCAAGTACTAAGGAAATCCTTTCCGCCTTAAAAGCATTGCAGCTAGGAAGGAAGTCAAGTGACTTCTCAGAAATTGTGTCTCATCTCAAAAACTGGGAAGCCAGTTCCCAAGAATTCTGCCCACATTTCTTCCTGATCCATATGGATATTTCCTCAATTTATGATAATGATGTGTCCTTCTATGAACTCGTAAGTGAAGCTGCATCCTGTAACCTTGGGCGCTCCAGTTCCCTGATCAGATCCAACTTTCAGCTGGCCAGGAATGACAGCCAGACAGTGTCTGCCAAATTTATTTTTAGCATTCAGATCCACTTTTCTGGAAACACATGGATTTTTCCTTTTCTTGAAGAGAGAATTCAGCTTGAACAGTGAGGATGTTTCCACACAGAAGGCTTGCTTTACATGGTGTTACATGTGCACTATGAACTTGGCCAGAAAGTTTATTCATGTTATATATACTTCTCTTGTGCATTAAAAACAAGCACACAGGCAAAGAGCATATGAGGGATCAAAAGGGATTGAAACTCTTTGTGTAACACACACACACAAAGGCAACCTAACGCTCTGAAATATACATAGATGGTAAAGGTACCCCTGCCTGTACGGGTCAGTCGTGTCCGACTCTGGGGTTGTGCGCCCATCTCACTTAAGAGGCCAGGGGCCAGCGCTGTCCGGAGACACTTCCGGGTCACATGGCCAGCGTGACAAGCTGCATCTGGCGAGCCAGAGCCGCACACGTAAACGCCGTTTACCTTCCCGCTAGTAAGCGGTCCCTATTTATCTACTTGCACCCGGGGGTGCTTTCGAACTGCTAGGTTGGCAGGTGCTGGGACCGAACGACGGGAGCGCACCCTGCCGCAGGGATTCGAACCGCCGACCTGACGATCGGCAAGTCCTAGGCGCTGAGGTCTTACCCACAGCGCCACCCGCGTCCCACATAGATGGTAGAGTTCCGTTATTTAAAGCCGTTCTCATGAAATAATTTAAAAATACACTTTAAAACTTCATCAATTAGAGATACCATTTTGTATTACTGAATTGTCTTTGTTTTAAAATGGTCTCTTGAAAACAAATGCAACAAAATCTTAACCAGGTTTATTGTTTGAAGATGACAGATTTTGTGTCTAAAATATACATTCTTTCCTCTCGCAGATCCGTGCAGCTGAATGGTCATGTCTTAAAAATGTTGGATGATGAAATATTGCCCACTCTCAGGGAAAAACCTCTCAGTCCAGGAAGCCGCCTTGCACTTCCAGCTTTTTCATATGGATTCTATGTAATAAGGAACGCCAAGGTGCGGGCTTGCATTTAGCAACTTATGTCACGTTCCCAATATCGAGTTGGTGGCCAACGTGGTGTCAAGACATTCGGCTGCTCCAGATATTTTGGTGGCAGAAACAAAGCAAGTCAAGAGTGAAGGGGAATAGCCCTCCATCCTGGCCCCCGTTTTTATTTCAACTTTCCACCTGTACCTAAGAACCTAAGAACTTTGTTTCAGCCACTGTTTCCCCAAGAAGGAAAGCTCTGCTTAAGGAGGGATTCCAGTTAGAGATGCAAAGAGGATGGATGTCAGACAGCAAATCACGAAATTAGTGGCGTAGGTTCTCAGCGACGTCTACACTGGCTTGGTCATGTACACAGAATGGAAGATGGCAGGATAGTGCTGCACAGGGAGCTGGCTTCAGGCACTAGGTCTGTTGGCAGCCCAACTCTGTGTCACAAAGATGTCTGTCTGCAAACATGGCACGAAGGCTGGCAACATCAACCCCACCGTGTGGGAATACTTTGCAGGCAATCACAGTGCCTGGAGACAGACAGTCGGGTTGTGCATCCATAGCAGTGGTCAGAGAAGGAATGACCTCTGGGAGGCGTGTAGAGAGACACCATGGTGCAAAACAACCGGATTCCTTCATCTGCTCCACCTGCAATAAAAGACCATATCGGTCTTCACAACCCCACCAAGCGCTGTAACTCTCCAACAGTTTGACTTTCTTCCCGAAGGCGAGACTCTTCCATTGTCTCCCGAGGCAGGCGGATGCCAACAACAACCCTTTGAGCATCTGAGGATAAACAGGCAAATGGACCAGTTGAGTGACATCAGGGGAAAGCAATCTTGAGGATAACAGAAGAATAAGCAAAATAAAAAAAATCCTTCCAGTAGCACCTTAGAGACCAACTAAGTTTTTTATTGGTATGAGCTTTCGTGTGCACGCACACTTCTTCAGATACACTGAAACAGAAGTTACCAGAAGGATAAGCAAGCAGGTTATAGGCACAGCCAAGGAGAAGCAGAATATAAGAGCTGTTGGCCAGCCTGCCTGGAAATTTTTACGGGGCTTCTGTTAGGCTAGCACCAAAAAGAGCAGACAAGCTCAAGCATTCTCAGGGATTCTTGTATTCTATGACAGGGTAGCGATCAGGAGGGACTCCTCTTCGTGATTTCTTATAAATCAGTTGTAGCACTTTTGCAGATGTGTCTGGCACATTTGCATGCTGCCCACCAGCAAACTAGACCTCATCCATGCCAGTCCCTTAGCTGACATCTGCTGAGTCAAACATACTAGCAGGATCAGCGTGGGAGAAACAGCAACCATCGTAGCCACAAATCCCATTGACAGCAGGTTCCCTTTACACAGTACTTCATGGGTATTTCTGGCTTCGAAGCTACTGTTGCTATCCTTCCTAGCTGTTTTATGGAAGGTACCCGGTTTCCTTTCCCCCCCAATATGCACAGAGTAAAACCATTTCCCCCCTTCATTATAGACATGCGACCTACAACAAAATGTTTACAGTGTGACACATTCCTGCTTGGGTTGCAGACATTCTGTTCCCAGTTCCTAACTTTTCATTTCTTCCTTGCCCCTCCAGCCCTCCAACACACACACACACACACACACACAACATTTCATGCCCTTTGAGCATGCTCAGTTGTCCCTGGGCATTTTGGAGGGACTGAAAAATTATTTTTGTACTTCTGCAAATGTTGGCATTCCTCCAGATCTGCAGGTAACTCCCTTTTGTGTGAGGGTAGGGTCATTCTGACCTGGGATAGCCAGGGATAGTCAACAGGGTGCCCTCCAGATACAGCAGACTGCAGCTCCCATTGGCCCTAGCCAGCATGGCCAATAGGCAAGAATCATGGGAGCTCTGGTTCCATCCCTGACAAGCAATTGCAATCAAGAGAATTGAGATGGCTATTAGGCAACAAAGGCAAAAGAGTTGTAGCTCAGGATTAAGAGCCCATGCTTTGCATACAAACAGTCCCCAGTTCATTCTCTGGCATCCCCAGATGGGGTTTCTGGAAACTCCTGTCTGAAGCTCTGTCTGTGGCCCTCCAGGTGTTGCTGGTCTCCAGGTTCCATCACCCCTAATCCTTGGTCACACACTGGCTGGGACTGATGGGAGCTGGAGTCCACTGACATCTAGAGGCCACACGTTGGCTTCAGTGAACCTGATGGCACAATGGTCAAACTCAGGATAATGTTTCTAGATTTTGGCATGCAGCTTGCCAAAATGCAATTCTAGGCAACTTTATTGTATTTCACTTTGATGTGTGTTCATGTGTTTTGGTACCTGCACGTTTTTGAAATAAACTAATTTATATTAACCGTTTGCTGTTGTGAATGTTTGGCTTTTTATTTGTCACATAGGCTCCTTGGTGCTAAAGGTGCTGTTGAATAAGCTCAGGAGATTCCTACAGGAATGTAGGTGCCACATTTAAAAACCATATAGCTTGATTCTGAACACTTTCATAAAGGAACTCCCACCCCATGAGCACTCTAATACCCCCCCCCACACAGCACAAAGACAGGATCCTATCACTTTCCCTTTTACAACAGATGGCATACCTCCCAAAAAAAGTTACTGTGGGGATTGCAGCTAAGATAAGAGCCAGCAGGTGGTGTCATTGTCCCAACTTTTTAAAAAATAAAAACAAATGTTTTGACCCCCATGTGCACTACAACAGTGTCAAAAGCTAGTCACCTAGCTTCCTCATGGTTACTGCATGGTAGGTAAAGGTAAAGCACCCCTGGATGGTTAGCTCCAGTCAAAGGCGACTATGGGGTGCGACGCTCATTCGCTTTCAGGCCGAGGGAGCTGGCATTTGTCCACAGACACCTTTCCAGGTCATGTGGCCAGCATGACTAAACTGCTTCTGGCGCAATGGGACACCGTGACGGAAGCCAGAGCGCACGGAAACACTGTTTAGCTTCCCGCTGCAGCGGAACCTATTTATCTACTTGCACTGGTGTGCTTTCGAACTGCTAGGTTGGCAGGAGCTGGGACACAGCAATGGGAGATCCCAGGGATTTGAACCACCAACCTTCTGATCGGCAAGCCCAAGAGGCTCAGTGGTTTAGACCATAGCACCACCTGCATTTCTGCTGCCTGGAGGGGCACTCTTCACAATGAAAGGTGGAATAATGTTTTCCACAAGTATTTAAAGGTTGAACCAGAAGGCAGCTCCTGAATGTCTATTTGAAGAGCATATCATTCCACAGCACTGGGCCAATGACCCTAAGGCTGTTTTGCATTGATGTCAAATGAGCCTCGCCAACCCAAGGAGCAACCAACAACACTCCTGCTGGTGATCAAGCTGGGATATAAGGGTTTAGGCACTCCCTAAGGTACCCTGGAGGGGACGCAGGTGGTGCTGTGGTTTAAACCACTGAGCCTAGGGCTTGCAGATCAGAAGGTTGGCGGTTTGAATCCCCACAACACTGTGAGCTCCCATTGCTCGGTCCCTGTTCCTGCCAACCTAGCAGTTTGAAAGCACATCAAAGTGCAAGTAGATAAATAGGTACCCCTCCGGTGGGAAGGTAAACGGCGTTTCCGTGCGCTGCTCTGGTTTGCCAGAAGCAGCTTAGTCATGCTGGCCACATGACCCGGAAGCTGTAGGCCGGCTCCCTTGGCCAATAAAGCGAGATGAGCGCCGCAACCCCAGAGTCGGTCACGACTGGACCTAATGGTCAGCGGTCCCTTTACCTTTAAGGTACCCTGGACCTAAGTTGTCCCCGACCATCCGAATCTTGGTGGTCACATTCTGCACCAGCAGGAGTTTCTGATCGAGCATCAAATGGACATCTTAAAAGCAATATTAATAATAGAGTCTTGTTCAGATAATCACATTCAATAAAATGCAATTAGAAAACAATCATATTTGCCCCTGGAAGGTAGACAGTCCACTAATAATATTTTCAGGTCAGAGGTGGGGACTGAGGCTGGTTTGGAGCTTCAGCCAAAAAAACCCCCATACGAAACACGGTTGGTACCAAAGGGCATTCAGCTGGAATAGTCCCCTTCCCAACCGCTCCCAGCACGAATCCTGCCTTCAGTTAAACGCTTAAACTTTCTGCTCCACTAAAGTTTCACTTTAATAATTTCCAAACTACATTTTTTTCTTCACACGAAGCAGGGAAAAAAACACACACACATCAGGAACTTCTGTCTTTGGTGTTGACTCGTGTGTGTAGATGAGGAGACACGTGGCTGCCTAGTCACACGTGCACTAGATCGATTGGAATAGGTGTAATAGTACTCCGATTCTGAACCTGGAATTTCCCATCCCAGACACCCGGACGGGCTATTCTACAGTTTCTTATCTCTGAGACGGCCAACCGCAACAGGAAGTGACGCACAACGTGAGCTGAAACGGAAAGCATCCGAGCATGTTGGCGCTCTATCCCCCGGCACCTCCGTGGTATGCTTCGGGTCCTTATCTCTATGGAAACGGTACGTCACAGCGACGTCAGGCGGAGGCGGAGTCGCTATGTCCGCCGCGCGGTTACTCTCTCGCCTAGCCGGGCCGCTTTGCCTCAGGCGGCCCTTCTCCCCATTCCGCGTCTTAGCTAGCTGTACTTGGAGCCATGAGCCTCCCAGGCCGCTCGGGCAGAAGACGCGGCCCCTCGGGACTTTATCGGCGGCGGGTTTGGTGCGAGCGGCGCCCGAGCCGGCTCAGCCCTACCTGCGCCTCATGAGGCTGGACAAGCCTATTGGTGAGTCTGCTTGTCAATCATCGGGCAGCCTCTTAGTCTCCTCCTCTCTTTTGTTTTTGTTTTGAAGAGGGCGGGAATTCGCAGGGGCGCTTTTGATTGGCCGATCCTGACCCTGTTGAACTTGGCTGGGTTCACTTTCTGTCAAGTGCAAACGTGTCTAGGAGGGGGGGCCTGTTGCTATCCGGATGAAGGCACGACGTTTAGTCGTGTCCGACTCTTCGTGACCCCCTGGACCAGAGCACGCCAGGCACTCCTGTCTTCCACTGCCTCCCGCAGTTTGGTCAAACTCATGCTGGTAGCTTCGAGAACACTGTCCAACCATCTCGTCCTCTGTCGTCCCCTTCTCCTTGTGCCCTCCATCTTTCCCAACATCAGGGTCTTTTCCAGGGAGTCTTTTCTTCTCATGAGGTGGCCAAAGTACTGGAGCCTCAGCTTCAGGATCTGTCCTTCCAGTGAGCACTCAGGGCTGATTTCCTTCAGAATGGATAGGTTTGATCTTCTTGCAGTCCATGGGACTCTCAAGAGTTTCTTCCAGCACCATAATTCAAAAGCATCAATTCTTCGGCGATCAGCCTTCTTTATGGTCCAGCTCTCACTTCCATACATCACTACTGGGAAAACCATAGCTTTTAACTATATGGACCTTTGTCGGCAAGGTGATGTCTCTGCTTTTTAAGATGCTGTCTAGGTTTGTCATTGCTTTTCTCCCAAGAATCAGGCGTCTTTTAATTTCGTGACTGCTGTCACCATCTGCAGTGATCATGGAGCCCAAGAAAGTAAAATCTCTCACTGCCTCCATTTCTTCCCCTTCTATTTGCCAAGAGGTGATGGGCCATGATCTTCGTTTTTTTGATGTTGAGCTTCAGACCATATCTTGCGCTCTCCTCTTTCACCCTCATGAAAAGGTTCTTTAATTCCTCCTCACTTTCTGCCATCAAGGTTTGTGTCATCTGCATATCTGAGGTTGTTGATATTTCTTCCGGCAATCTTAATTCCAGTTTGGGATTCATCCAGCCTAGCCTTTTGCATGATTCTGCATATAAGCAGAATTCTGCATTTAAGCAGATGTGAAGGCATATTTATATGAGAGTATATTCGGTTGCACTTAGAGGGGCTTCCTTCTGAGCAAACACGGTCAGGATTGCGCTGGGCTGTGCATCTTTGCAAGGGGCGTGGATCCTGTTCGCTTTGCAAAGGAGGCTCTTCTTGCTGCAGTCCCCTTTCTAACCTCCTCTCTGGGTAAACGGCTTTGGGAGAATTATCACAACTATTATCTTGCAAGTTATACTGCAAGGTTGATTCTACTCTTCTTTGTGAATGAATCTTGATCGCTTGCCTTCTCTTGTAAGTAGAGTGGCCACGTGATTCGTATTAGGGAAGGTTAGGAATCAGCAATGGGCAAGGACTGCACAGTAGTAGCTCAGGGATAGAGCACCATGTTTTGCATGCCTAAGTTTCCAGGTTCAGTCCTTGGTGTCTCCAAATAAAGCTGTGAAAGGCTTGTGTCTGAAACACTGGGGAGCTACTGCTCAATTCACCAATGGTCTTACTTGGTAAAAGGCAGCTTTCTACCTCTCTGCTGATAGGGCCATTTATATGTTAATCTGAACATGCAAGAGGGAGTCGGATTGTGCCTGCTGACTGCCCTGTATGTTTGTATGTCTACAAACTGCACATGTTCTTTTACACTACCAAATGAAGTGGTAAATGGGACAGGGAGAGAGCAGATACAAACTCACTCCTCTCTTAACATTGCATTTAAGTGACTAGCGCAGCAGTTTTTGGATTGAACCTTTCGGTTCTCCCCTTTGTTGCTTTAATTACAGCCCTGAGAGAAGTGTAAGAACTTAAATGCGTGTGTCTTTTTTTGGCAAATATAATTTTACTCTGCTTGATTGCCCATCCATATTTAAAATGTCCCTGTTTGTGATTCTCTTTAGTTACATGTTTACATGCCCCATACATAAAGCTGATTTGAAGGTATATCTAGGACTGTCTGCTTGAAAAAGCTGCGCCTCTGCCTTTGACAGTAGCTTGATGTATAGATGTTAGCAGCAGCTAATGTCTATCTGCATGTTGAGAGATTTTAAAGTTTTATTTGTGCACATCAAGACACTGTTAAATCTTGCACAAGTTGCAGTTCCCCCCCCCCCATTTAGCTGACAGCCTTAGAGATAACTCCTTTTTCTTGTGGGAAAATTAAACTGTTGTCTATTTGTAATGCATGAAACCAAGAAGAAAGGTGCAAGAGATCTGCTCTCATCCCTTGCAGATAAGAAGGCTCTTTATACCTTACTTCCCAGTTCTGTGTCCCTTACTTCTTCTTGCATTCCCACAGTGATCATGTGTGGTCAGGAATGAGGCTTCCAAAATTACATAGGAATTTAATTATAAGTAAACAACAACAACAGTTCTAAAGGGCCATTGATGGCAAATAGCTTTGTTCATCCCTAGCTAGATGACAATGCTCAGGGGTCTGGATTTGGTGTTGTCAGGGGCTCAGGAGCAGAGGCACAGGAAAGGGAGGAAATAGAGAGCGAGGGGGAGGAATCCGAAGGAAATGTTAGCGATGACAGCGGCCCGAGGTCTCTGAGTCTTTCCAGCGAATCGGAAGAT